GAAGGTTCCGTGCACGCGCGCGCATTCTCTCCCTTTCATGGATTAACAACCCCCGCGCGAGGGCGTTTATATTCATCGCGACACCGAATATGGGACATCTTGAAGGAGGTATCCGAAGAAAACGGACTTCGTACCTTGGTAGGTGAATGTAGGGGCTTTATGGTGGCTGTGCATGGACGTAGTGACTTGTACTAAGTAAATGATAGAGCTAGTAGGATGGAGATGTGATGGAATTGGTAGAGGTGCAATGTATGAATGAAGAAATGTACGAGACTGATGAGGAGAAATGGTTGGGGATGTAATTTTTAGGGGAAGAATGGGTGGCTGGTTCGTAGGCAGATAGGAGGGTTGTTTGGTGTACGGATGTGGGTGATTAGATGTTGATTATTGATTGGGAAGTAGCGGTTGTTTGAGGGATGGTATAGGGATATAAGAAATTATGAAATCGTGTATGAAATGTCGTGTAGTTAGTCGATTTGTATAAAAATTGAAAATCTAGTTTGGATTCGAGATCGTGTTTCGGTTCAGGTTTACATTGAACCTAAATACGTGTACCATACAGCAAGGTATAAACTTCAGGTGTTAGTACCTTGGTATGGTATTTCAACTCAATTGTGCAGAGTGCATTATGGGTGTTCGTGTGGGATTTGTCAGTGTGTTCTGTTCATAAACATAAAAGAAAATAAATTTACTTGTAGGAATGGATGAGTGATGCCTCTTCCATTTGGGTTGATTTACCTAATTTGTGTAATTAAACATTTCCATTCACAAAACCCAATGACAAAATCTGTACAAAGGCTCATATAACACCCTGCATGATTAACAACGAGCATCCAGGGATCCTGGAATACTCGAAAAGTCAACTACCTAACCGCTAACCTATCTGTATAATCTAAATGCGAGACAAACATCTTGATACGATCATGTCCGCGTTCTACCAACCGGTAAACCGATCAGTCTGCATAATGTGATTTAAACGTCACCCTAACGAGATCAGGTCACCCCCGAGCTGGCTCGTTGCAAGGTCGACGCACGCGAAGGGTGCAGAACGATTAATCCGTGACTTTTCGTCCGAAGCGGGATCGAAACGTGCCGTGATATCCTTGGCTATAGCAAACGGGACGAGGGAGCCAGCTGTCGACGAGGCAGCGGCTGCACGTACAATATCGCCGTAGCTTTTGGGGATCCAAGATGACGGTCCTCTTCCGTCGTGTTACGTTTTAGGGGCGCGGAGTCTCTCCTCTGGCGTCAGCTTGCGAGGGAAGAAACGAACGGCTGACCCTGCGGACCAGACCCTGGAAAAACTGTCCTTTCGGTGGGTTATTGATGTATCAGCGATACGCTTTCGTTCATATGAACTTTGGAAAGAAACTTATCACATTCGGAGAATGAAATTTGCGCGTTACACGATACTTTCGGATCAAACGTGGTGCAAATGGACAAGTGTTTGACTGCGGAATCGAAGCATGCTTTGGACGTGTAGTCTGGTGAATCTTGAGGCTGGGAACTTGGGATTTGCGTCTGCTAGTTCTGTGCGACTCGAGGTTTTGAATAGCTGGAGCTTTGGGATTGGATTGGTCTTGAATTTGTAGGATGATATATGTAGTATGTGTAGTATCCAATGTGTAGTGTCCTATATGTAGTATCCAAAAATCTAAAAATGTTCAAAACTTTTAGATGAAAGCAATTCATTTTAGTCTTTAGTTAATTCCAATTACCTCTAAACTCTCGTACTCTCAGTTTCTTTAAAGAATTTAAGTTTCTCGAATGGGTGTTGTTCTATCGATCCATTTAGTGGATGGATTGTACCTTCGAAGCACACTGAAAAGATGACGAATACATTTTTACAACTGTTCACATAGTCATGTTGGATCACATTCTTTTTATTTTAACTTACGAACTTACGTTGCTAGATTTACATAAAATATACTTAATCGATACAACTGCGCATAATATACTCGTGATTCCGAGAAAAAATATATTGCACGTATGCTACATTCTCTGACGTCTTATACTTTACTCTGTAGTGCGCGGGACATCTTTGTGACTGTAGAACGTAGAACATCGTCAAACAGGGTGAAAAATACATTTCTGTTGTATCAAGCTCATTCTGCCTTGACGAAAGACGGATATCCAACGAAGAAATCCTCGAAACAAGAAACAAACATTTCTTCGCTAATTTTTGCTGCGTTAATGTGCCTTTCTTAAGACTTGTCTCACCTCTTGTTTACATTAAATAGAAAATATTTATTTCTTATAGCGAAATCGAATACAACGACGCACACAGACACACGCATATTCTCGTTTGAAATATATCTCTTGCACGAGGAAACAAAGTTACGTGTCACGTCTTCCATTTTATAACAAATATATGTCTCTATACATATGTATATATATATATAGTCTCTATAATAAAACTTCGCAAATGGTTGCAAAATATTTCATTTACAGCAAAGGTTCAAAGGTCAAAGACAACACTTTCTTTTCCTTCGTTCATAGAAAACTATACTCTTAATTGTTTCTCACGTATCTCCGAGGAACACGGAGCATTCGTTGCTTTGTTCAAGCAACTAACTACTTTATCCTCTATCCTCCAAATTCCTCGAATAAATGCAGAAAATACACGTTTCATTGGAAACGAGCGCTCGTTAAATGTCTGTGATGCAAGAACAACTTCTTTAATATCAAAACGATCAGATCCTCCTGTTTCGCGAGTATCAATGTATAAAGTTCCCTTGGAACCGGAAGTCGACAGAAGTACATATGTACAGTTAAGCCATCGAGTTATTTACACGAATAAATTAACCAATTTGTAAAAACGTCGAGCTATAGTTCGTGGGATATTTGTTCAGTTCTCAAGATTATTCGTACTTTATGCAATTAAAATAAAGTCTTTGTGTCTCAAAATTTCCTTTTCTAATTTGTTCCAAAATCTCCACCGAATATCCTTGAGTAATCGAGTGATCTTAAACAGACTATAGCATCGAGTGTGTGTACAAAAACTCAGGATGTTGCACATAATCTTATTTACAATCTTAAAATCGCTTAATTTTATTTACAATATTTCTCTTTCCTCTGTATCGTTTAAAAATCGTGTAATTTATTCCACCTATGTGAAACAACCTGTGTGTATCTTTAAGAGAATAACTTTATGTTCCTCTCAGGCTCGCAAAAATCGACAATTAATGTACAATTAAATACCAAACAACTGTTGTCTTTGAAAGTTGTGTCTTACATTAATTACAACGAAATTCTGTAATTTACAATTATAATGTAAGGTACAATTTACAATCACACCCACGCGTTTCTCTTCTTTACGAGACACAGATGGGAATAATCTCTGGTGGAATAAAAAAGTACGACAGAGTTGAGAAAGCTCTTGCTTTGTACGGAAAAAGGGGGGAAAAGGGGGGAAAAGGGGGTAGGCAAATACCTGGATACACCTGGAGAAAAAGCAGGATACTTCTCTAACGAGATTCTACCGTGGCTTCGTTTCAATTTCGGGACGTAAAACCAGTCCCCATCATCCCTTCGTGTTAATATTTGCAACGCTTGGCATCCAGAAAAGCCCATCTCCTGCTGTTCCACGCCTCTCTAGGGCGTTCCCTTCAAACACACTATGTTTACTTCCTTAGGAAATTCTTAGACGTGTACTGTGAAACGCTTTTTAATTAAGAAACCTGCGGACACACTCTGAGTAAGGAGAGTGTCTCGATGACTCACAAGGTGGTGCAGAAGTAATCGCTAATTTCTGAAGAACAGTGTACTTTGATCGTCAGTTTTCTTGCCTGTTAAAGAAGAGAATTAGATTTACGATAAGCGAATAAATTTTGAGTGATTCGAGTTAATATTGAATGGTCTAACTTAGGTTCCAGGTAGTTCGCTTTCATCTTGAATGAGATGTGACACACTCTTTTCCACTGAGTTCTGTAATCTTTGATTATGTTTGTATCAATGTTAAGTCACTTTAATTAGAGTTGAATCTAAGTGAAATAAAATTAATTGGGCTGCTTATTTTAGTCTGATTAAATATAAATTTGAGCTGAGTTAATTAGATTTAGTTAAGTGTATGTAGATTAAGTACTATTTCTACTTTCCAAGTAGAGGAACAATTTTTTCTTGTATATTTTTTAATATGGAGATAGCCACGAAAACTCAGAACTATTTTTACACCACCTTGTAGCACACTTCTACTGTATCTCTTTGTGTGTTTCTTTTTTCCACATTTTTTTTTTTTTTTTTTTTTTTTGTTTAACTAAATAATTATTAAATGTCTATATCTAAAAATAAAGTTATTTTATATTAACATTGAAACTACTAACACGCACATTTTTCAGTCAGAAATAACTCTTGAAACTTCAAAGATTATAATTCATTGTGCAACCAATAAGAAGCATATAATCAATTTTAATTACAATTTTAATTAATGTCATACCTTATTTAAAATAAATTTAAACTAAATCAATGAATTTTAAATAAGATCTTTTAGTACCTATAAGCACAAATCATTATCGAAACTATCAATCATAAATCCTTCACACCTAATTAATATACTATTCTCCATTGATGCCATCCTATTAATATCCTTAGGAACTTTCGTTTTCAATTCTCTTCCTTCCTCTCCAATGCATCATTTAATAAGGCAAATGACAATGCATCAACAGTAGACAAAATCAGTTACAATCCAGAGATCTATCAATAATGACCTACTTCTTCCTCCAGGTTTTCTCAAAACTTCAACAATCAATTTTCTATGGCATTTCCATTGTCGAGATACAGACATCGCATGAAGACGTGTCTAATAGACACTCTAACATAATCGAACCTCGACCAAAGGATAAAAATTAATTCGGTGATTATAAATCACAAGTCAAAGGATTCATATGATTCGTTACAGATTCATCGTAGATTCATCGATCCTTTTGACGATTTCAGTTAAAAACACGTACTCAAAAGTAACGTGTGCAATTCAAAAAATACTCTTTACAAAAGAAAACGCATTAGACTGAACTGGTTTTCGGTAAAGGTTTCAGCTTCAGTTCTCGTCGTTGCTCGTGGTACTCTTGGAAACAAGGTACAATACACAAGTTGGCTTGACATTCAGGGCAATGAAACTTCGTTTTCCTTCGAAGCGTCCTCCCGTGGGCATCTATCGTGTTCCAGCAGTGATTGCAGCCTAGAGCTGGACCTGGACGCAAAAGTGGACAGTGACCAAGACGCAGATCTCCAGTGCTTTCTCGAGTATCCCTGCTTGTCGTCTAAAAAAGATTTAATTTTAATGACTAATTAGTAAAGACAGCTTTTTAATACTAAATTCCCTGAGTAACCTACTGATTACTTGATAAAATTTTATACTACAATAATGAGATTTATTTTATACTTCTTTCTTAAAAATTACAATATTGCAGATAATTTTGAGATACGTTTCCAGATTCTTAACAAATTCTTCCTTCTTGAATGTTACAACCCAACTCCTTAATCTCAACTTCATCAACCTAGTTCCTTACATGTGGTGACGAGGAACTCCGTCTAAGTTCCGTTGTCTTCACTCTCAGTGCTGAAGAAGACCCTGCAGTATCGGTAGTAGTCATAGCAATTGACTCCTCTGTACTTTCTTCCTCCGTTTTAACAACAGGCGCTGGTTCGACGACGATCGACGGACTGGTGGTCCTTCTGGGGAACTCCGGATTCGAGTGTTGCCTGTGTATCCAGTAATTCCCACTACTAGACTGTTGCTGATTAGACAAGAGCGGGTGGGAGTGTTGTTTCATCAAGTAGGATGGCTGAGGTACGGTCAACAGGTTCGTCGAGGTGGTCACTGTTAATAGACTAGGCTGGTTCACCAGAATCGATTGCGGAGGCGACGAGATTCTCGTTTCCTCCCAGCTTCTCGACGTTTGTGGCAGGTTCAACGTCGGCGTAGTCACATAGATGGAGGAAGAGACGATATGTGGTGAAGATGCCTCGCTGTCTGGTGATAAATGGTTCGACTCCTTCTTCACTCGTGGCTGGCGCAACAGACGACACCTCTTCGGGCCTACCTGCTTGCAAACTACTGCAACAGAAATGAATATAATTAATGTAAGAATTAAAATGCAAAGTATTATAGACGAAAGAAGATTTAAGTACCTTAGACACTGTTTTTCTTAAGTATTAATAGTAGTTTACATATGAAGCTGATATTGTTAGCGATTATTTGTTAATTCACAAAATTATTCATTAACGAGTTGCTCGTCAATGAATTACAGTAGCATTTTTCCAAAAAAGAGAAAAAAATCAGAAAAATTAAAAATAAGTTTACAATTTTTAGACAATAGAATATAAAGTATACCACAAGATTATGGAAGGAGTGGGACAGACTATAGTGTAGAAACTATTGAACACTCAGGTGATAGGTGTACTAAGAACGTGCTCTTCGCGTATGCAAACAAACTCCCAGTTGATATGCGGGCACAGATAGTTCCGCCTGAAAGAGTGACATTGTTGTTCGTAAATAAAATTTTATTTTTTATACAGAAAATCGCTACATAAATAAAGATCTAAAAAGACGGATATCTTACGTGAACAGAGTCGTGAGTCTGGCCAGAAACAACTTTAATTCATTCTTCCTTCACGTGTTTTATTAAAGGCGTTATACAATAACACTGACACATTAAACTCGATCCTCTGCATATAAAATTCGGTACCGATTTTAAACTAGTTCCATTTTCTTATCTCTCGTTTTTTACGAAGTATCAATGTTTATGATAGTGTACATTACAATCAACATTTGTAACATCTCTATAATTACCTATCGTTTTGTACAGATATTCGAGAAAAAAGAAAAGAAGAAACAAGAACAACGCGCTCGATTTGTATACGTTTCGTTAAAATAATTGCTCGGATATCTTATCGACGAAGTCGAGCGGCAATTAAAATAAAATTTCATTTAATTCGGTGCTATCAACGAACAAAATTTCAAATAAAAATTCATCGCTACGGAAATACATTTTATAATTCGACATCGTTCTTAATCGATGTTTTGTTTCGTCGAAACGAGAATAGGAACACGGTTGCAAATTAATACTTTGATTAGGTACGAATTAAAGTGACGAACTTCTAACTGTACGTATTTAAATGCGACTACATAAAAAAGAGAGATAATACTCGTTCGCGTGATTAAAAAAATTCAGGTATTTACATCGTCGTTAAAATCCATTTTCTATTTAAATGCTAAACAAGAAGATATATTCGTTTTAATTCTAGCGTCGCAATGATATATATATATATATATATATATATGTATAAATTTCGCGCTTCGATGGAACACTTATTGATCATTCTCGACTCCTATTTAAACGAAGAAATAAAAATATTGTACACATTATCCTGCACGGAAACATCGGTTTTTCTGAAAAATATTATATTGTTAATATAGTAATAATGATTAAAAAATCAAACTGTATTAAAATTAAACGAAACCTTTGCTTGTAGAGAATTTTAGATATTCTCCGACCATCAATAATAAATTCTGACATCATACACCTGTTTCTCAATACATGCATTACTTTATTGTATTTTCTTCATTTTCTTCCTTTTTATAGGTTATATCATTGTACATTAACAAATCGACGAGTTAATCAAGAAAACGTTTGTTCCCGCGAATATTACACTTAATCAGCACTTATAGGCTACAACGTCTTAAGTAGATGGAAACTATATGTATAAACAGTACACGTGACAATACTAAAAAAAATTAATGATATAAGTAATAAATGTAGGTGGGATTGATCAAATTCAATTTTAAATTTACTTATAAGAATCAAAGGGCAATTAGAATTTATTATAAAAAAAAATTATCTGACCTTTCGAAATAGAAGAAAGAAAAAAGCAGAACTCGATGATTTATACTAACGTGAACCCGCACGCTAATAACCGTGTTACAATACCCTGTAACCTGCTGCTCCTATGTACAGGATCTGTCATAAAATGTCAAATATAATATTTTATGTAGAATTAAAATTATATTTAAACATCGATTAATTATTACAATTGAAAATAAATTTAAATTATAAATGTTCTACCCTGATCAACTAAACTGCCTAATAGTTTAAAAATTGAGTATTGTTTCAACTCATTATTAAGTTAACCTTACAATTATATTCATATTTCATGGTATACCCTGTACGATAGAATTTTTTAATAGAAATAAAATTATTATTGACAATTTGGAACAAATTCTTTCAAAGTAATCCCAATAAAAGCTATCGTACTCGTTTCAAAATATACATATGTACGAGCTTAAATTTTCGTCACAGATTACTCGTTATAAACTGTCTTTCTTTCCTTTAAGCGATAGGGAATTAATTGTAATACATGTATTGATGCATTGCAATTCGACTTCTCATTTGTAGATGAGTTGTTAGTTTCATAGAATGTGTTAACTGCGTGTGTGTGCAAATACACGTGATACATTCTTGAACTATGTTTCCTACCACTACTTTATTTACTATGTACAAAAATTTTACGCGCAATGGTACACACTAAAGTTGGTAAAAAGCAAAATAATTGCATTGTACGCGAGCGACATTTTCTCGCGTGCTAACGCATGCGCGCATGATTACTTTACCAACTTTAGATTATATCGATATTCTTGTGCAGATCGATCTTGTATCGATAGAACGATAAAAACATTAAATTAAAATATGTTCAATAATTCATTTATAAATATCTGAAATTACAAACAAGCAAATGTATGTATTCAGCATATAGCTATTCCCACTCTATCACATCGCGTATAATTCAGATTTCAAATGATACAATTTAAACTAAAGGAACTTGTTCAAGAATTTGTTTTACCTTTTGCCGGAACTTTCGGTGATGGACAATGCCGTCAACAAAAATATATTGTCGTTGTCCACTCTGAACTCGTTCACTTACAATTTATTAAATATCAATTATTTTCGATAAATGTTCAATAAATTTATTAATGAAACACTCGTACACTTTCCTGTTCTTTCAGAACCACAGCAATTTTGCTTTCGAACCTCTTTGCTTCTCAAAAAAGAGGTAGCGAAAGAAAACAAAAATTTAATTTACCGATAATCGTTAAGAGTAACAAGTTAACGAGCTCTAGCGGTACAGCAACGACATCTTCGGTTATATAGGTGTACCCTAATATAAAAAATCTGTAGTGTATAAAGTATTGTGTACTGTTTTCTGTTTACTCGAGATCTCTGCGTTACTGCAAAAGCTTATAGGTACGTACAAACTAGGCAAAGAAGGTATCTAAATCCGAATGTTTCTCTTCCTGTCGACATTCAACAATAGATTTCGCGCTCTTTTTCGATGAGTATTGCCGGTCTAATTCTTAGCTCCACACGTGGAGATCTAGTATCTTTCAAGCTCGTCTATACAAGTGGCCATTGGCAACAACGAGTCATGGCCAGTGCCTCACATCGCATTGTAGTTAACACCGTGTAAATTGATTGGCATTGTAGTACTGGGCAATGCATAATCTGTATGCCTGCTATCAATGTAACCACTTAACATCGTATGCGGACTATGAGTGGTCAGCATGGTATGCGTGCTGTGGGTATTGTGTGTACTATGTGGAGTGGTGGGAGGACCCATTGGCGTGGGACTCTGTGAATTAACTGGTTGCGCCGACGGTGCTGGTGGCGGTGAGGAATTCACTTCTTGTTTGACCCTCGACTTCAAACTGGGTCGATTGTTCGGGTAACCGCGCTTTTTGTATTCCAGCCAAAGTGTTCGATTGTTCACACCGAACATTCTAGCCGCCTTACAGAATCCTATGCCGCCATATCGTACAGCGTCTAATGCTCTGATAAAATTCTCATCCGCCTGCGGATTTGTCGATCGTTTCCTCTTTATTGCGGTTTGTGGACTGGCACACGGACTCTGGCAGTTACTCGGGCACTGTGTCGACGGTGAAGGGCCGCCCGACGATGCGTGCTGCAATGTCCCGTGTGAGGAGTTTGGATAATTCGTCAAGGCGCAACTGGAACCAGTCGTGCTGGTACCAGAGTACTGATCACTGATGGTCGAAGAAGCTGTTATTTCGGGCGTGGTAAAAGCTGATGACGCTTGGATCGACAGATTCGTTTGACACGAGGACAGAGCGAAACGTGGATATGTATGCTCCATAATAGTCCATTGCAATCCTGTGGAACAGACCGGTTCATACTTTGGTCAGAGCACAGGAATTATTTCGTTATAGGCTGTATGTATGTTTTGATATTAAGGCAACGATAAATACTAGTTAAGTGTATATTATATAAATATGAGATGTGTTTTTGAATGGTATATTCAAAGATTGAGTAAATAATATTATAGGTAAAATGAAATTAAATATTCGTGTAGTATAAGAAGATTGTGATATTAAAATGTCTGTTCATATATATAATATACTGAAACCCTATTAGCGGTAATATGTCCTATGACAATAATAAATGAAAAAGGCAATTTGATAATAATTAGCTTAATTATAGTAATTAAACTAAAGAATTGAAAGAAGATATCTAATTTAAATGAAATGTATTGCTTTATACTACTATATGTGTAGAAAAATAAATGAAGATGCTAAGCTGTAAGCAGGAAAGAATGGAAAAATATTTATAAAAATCAGTGTGAAAGTAATGGTATATATATGGGAATATTAAGACTAGAATATATTGTGGCATGGCACAGATACATTTTAAAGCACATTTGTCATTCATCTTTGGTATAGGAAAATGTGTACAACTTTATTACGTAAATTAAAGGACAGAGTAAGGCACACATACACACTCAACAATGTTTAAGGCCCAATTTTACTGTCCTCTAAAAGAACATTATACATTGTGTGCTATGTATCTGTGTACCATGGTGAATTTCATGAATGAAATTAGCCTTATAGAAATTTGCACTACTAATTATTATTTTTTTCCTCTCAACTTTCGCTCTATTTTCATGTCAAACGTCTGTTGATTTTCCTTGTGCAGTACATTTAAACGCATCTGTGCCAGCATATAATGTGTGTATCATTTGTTTGCATGCAATTTTGATACCCACCACGTTCACTATAGGTCGTGTTTCACTATTAAACTACTAAGGGATTTGTGTGAGAGACAGATACATCATGCATATTTAAATTGAATTATTACCGCTTGTGCATAAATAAAGAATAAAATTACCAAATATGTTGATTAAAGATTGGAACAGTTTGGAATATAGTAATAATCTCTTGTATAACCTGTACAATTTAATTACTAACAATGACCTTAATTTTAAGATATATATCTTCACATATCTTATCTTTATATATTACACATTAAACAAATTGTTTAAAATTCAAAATTGATTTCTGAACATTTTAAAATTACCGCTTACGTAGAGATGTAAAATATTCATACTTTTTTCATGAAATATATTTGAAAATATTGTAAATGTAAGTTTTGTTCCTATGTCATCTTGCAATATAAATTATAAATATCTTAATATAATACAACTCTATATTAAATATTCTAAAGTAGTTTAAAACTAATTACACACACATTAAGAAAAAGTTACTTACCTTGATGTGCAGGTGGTTGAGAAGAAACTGAACTTTGTGCCACATTTCCTCCTGATTGTTGACTCACATCTTGTATTGAACCATCACTTTGTGCTGGTGTTGTTGCTGAACTGTTTTCCATATTACTCATCTACAATACATTAATCACAATTTAATATTTAAAAACTACATAAAATCTAATTTTTAAAAATTTAACTATATAATTTTATTTTTTATACAAATAAAATATTTTACAAATAATAATATTTGAATGAATATACTTACAATTGATATTTGATCTTCATCAATACTTCCTTGAGATTCAGTACTGGTATTGACAGGTCTTCTTAGACTTTCATTGCCTTCTTGTGAAACTATTAATGGTTCTGGTTTTACGATATTGGTGGCAACTAAAGTGATTTCATTCATTTCTTCTGGTTTGTCACCAGATCCAGATGTTGACCCAGTGGATGATTTTCTTAATCTCTTTCTTCGAAAAGATGGAGACAATGGTGACGGACTAGGTGAACAAGATTCTCCACGATCTCCTCCTCCAGGTTCACTACTACCACTTGGCCACTTGGTTAAAGAAGCACTGTGCATTTCTGCAAGTCCTTTTATTTTTAAACTCTCTGCAGTCTACACAAGAAGAAATACATGACAAATTACATTATTATTATTTTAATAAATATGAAAATTAATGAAATAAATGTGTATACATTTTAAAATACCTTTATGATAGATGGTAACTGATCCTGTGATATGTTTACTTCGCCATAATACATAAAATCAACCATGATTTTCAAGTCAGAGAATTTTACATCCTTTAATATGACAATTGGATGTTGACATGGATTCACAGTAAACAATGATTGAAAATATGTACTGCATGCAGACAAAACAACTTTGTGCGCCTGGAGATGTCTGCCTTCAGCAGCTAATGTCACATCCACCAAAGTTTCATTATTTAATAGATTAGAGAACACCGAAATAAAATTCGGTTGATGATTGTTCCACCGCAAACAAAACTGTTGCATCGACATTGCAATGAATTGTCAAATTACTTCCAAACACTATAATTACACCTGCAAAATCATCGATCACTTATTTATCTACTAATGATTTCTTTTACAGAAATAAAACATCGTGAAAGGTTTTAGAAATATATGTCACTTGAATATTTTGAATAAATTTCACCCGTGGACTTATCAATATTAGAAAGAAAATAAAAAAGACAAATAGCTATTTTAATAGAAGATAAATAAAATTATCGATGCTATGAAAATTGGTAGAAGTAATTGTAAACATTAAATCATCATCGGAACGTACAATTTCCTTTATAGAATACAGAACTCTTCGATAATTCACGTTGAAAACATGATTTGACTGCTGTTGCCGTTCAAACACGATTCAACTCAAACAAGGCATTCGATGACGATAAAAACTCGGATCGAATTTGTGAAGGTATGTCGCGGTCAAGTAAATTGTCATTTCTAAAAAACGCGCAAGCTATACACAAAGCATATTTTGGAGCGGGAAAACAAGAGAAAAATCGTTCAACAATACGGTTACAATCGCTTCGCACACAATAAATATAGACTTGTACAATGAAGATCGCGGAAAAAGGCAAACAGAGCGAATTGCTCACTTCGTTTAAACAAGGATTCCTTGTGGATAATACCACTGATAACGGAACATCCGCTGGATGACACGATGTACTGCAAGATCCACTGTTTCGGTGTTTATTAAGAAAAACAGAGTCCACTCGGCGCTGCCATGGATTCGACGAAATTTTCCACAACAGACTGAGCGGTGACGCTTGTGTAATTCACAAATGACGTCATAGGCGAAAAATTACGATTCCACGTATGGCGCGCGGCAAACCCACCGACAATCGTCTCAATGGATATGTTGATATCGCGGTATATTTCTCATGTAATCGACAAATACGAGATCTTATCAACGTGCGTCCTTAGAAAACCTAACTTGATCAATATAGCGGCCGACACAGAGTGACATCTATCGAGGATCTGTCAAGTACGGCACTTCTTTCGCCTTTCGAAATAATTTTTTCCTTCCCTTCAATAACTTTAAATTGGGATAGGTATAAAAAATCGATAATACGATACATAAAATATAAAATCGAATGAGGCCATTGTTAGGGATAATGTACGATTGAAATAATTCATGGTTTATTGAAATTATAAATACTTTACTCCATTATTATATAAACACGTTTGATAATACATAATAAAAAAAGTTCCATTTCTTTAAATAAGATGATGAAAATGTTACTATAGTTAGTATAAATTAAACAAATAAGAAGAACCATTTATTCCACATTAGACAATAATATAATACTTTGCACGTATATTTATAAGTATATACTGTTCAATTCAGATTTTACAGATCTTCATTGAATCAACAGTGATGTATATTAATTTCCACCATTTATAATACATTCTCTTTTCTGCTCTATCGCAGAGAAATTCATGCACTTTCTTTACAAATTGTATTCGTTGTACTCTAGATTAAAACAAAGAGGACAAATGAAATAAGAAATTAGATTTAAGTGCGTAATTACATATTACATATATACATACATACATATACATATATATACGTATGTGAGGTATATTGCTCGACGATAAATCTGGAAATTGGTACAAAGAAAGGTGCGTGTAGATCCATATTTTGAATAATAGTTCAAGGAACTTAGAATTAGAATTTTATCCGAATCAAATCTAAACAACGAATCACGGTATAAGAACAAGAAGTTTTAATTTTTAAGACATCCTAACTTACGAATGAAAAGTGCGCAAAATATCAAATATTTGAGATTCTTTGTTGCATTATATAAGAAAAACATTTATGCATCTGTCATTTTTATCTCTCAAATCTCTTATACAAAATTTTATAAAATACTATAGAGGGGTCCTCCCCCACGGTTGTTGAAGTCGGCAGGTCGCAGGTATGCTCGTTATGTCGGTAGTACTAAAAGGGGCAAAAGGAAAAGGAAGGGATGCGTTTCGTCTCGGGCCCATCAGTAAGGCTACCCTAGCAGGTCCTGCCTTAGACTGGGATATTATTGGAAAGTCGGGAAATTGTGTATACGTGTATAGGAAGCGGAGGTTTTCCGAGGACTTGCGAGAAAGTTCTCGAACCTCCTTGAAGTTGGAATTATCTAGTGGCAAGGGTGAGATGATGGCCGCTACAATACCAAAACTCTATCGTGTTATTTTCATTCCAAACTTATTGAAATAGAAAAAGAGAAATGTCTAATGTTATAAGATTTCTTTACAAAAAAATTACTTCAAAAATAAAAATGGTAACAGATGCATAAATTTTTTCAAATTATCCGAAATGTTTCAATTTAATAGGCTTTCGCTGCTAGGCCGTGGTTTAGTAACCATACTCTGTAAGGCTCTTATTTCGTTTTCCGTGAGATTCGGAGGTCCAAACAGAAACTCCCTATGAGAACTCGGATTAGATAGAAGGTTCTGCATGTTCTCATTGGTTAGCACCAAGTAATGTAGAGACGTTTGTGTTAAATTTACTTTCTTAGCTAATGTTCCGGTAATATGAACATCATCGATCCAGAAGTATGGCTCTTTCTGTGCCTCGCGATACAAAAGAAATACGCTATCAGGCGAGTAAAGTATACCCCATCCGGCACAATATGCAGGATAATGTCTACCAGGATATTCTTGGGGGGAGACTCTCCACTTAGAACGCCAAGATCTCTTGACAGTACCTGTGGGGACGAGATCGCAAAGGATCAATCGTCTGGCTCCCCATGGTGAGAGATAACGCGTTAAGAAATCCAGCATGGCGGGTATATGAACAAAAACATCGTCGTCTAATTTTAATATATATTTGGCACCTGAAACAGCAAAAGAAAGAAATATAGAATAACTTTCTCGCTTATGAAAATTCTTTCTTCTATACTAGTAGAAATGAGCAATATTCAAAATAATTAATAAGCTCATGATTCTACAATTATTTTGAACATTATGTTTTTGAGATACTTAGAACAGATCAACTAATCTCCTATTTTCAGTGTTGGATAATTGAGGCTGAAGAAATAAGCATAATATAGAGGTAGACTGAGAACGGAAAATGTTTAGTCTACTATAGCCAGAATTGGTCACTCAATGCCATTGAAAAGAAGTAATCTGTTTTCAATAAAGAGTAGGAGATTCGTCTATGAGATTAATTAATAAATTCTTGGAATGAAATATAGTTGGATCGAGCAGTATAGCGAAGTCATAAATTATCATATTCAGTAGTAATAATACCATTTGTAATTTTCATCTATAGGTATCTAACGCAAACTAACAAAACAGAAAAACTATTGATTAACTTTCAATTTCAGCTTGGTTCATTAATTACTCCTTACTACGAATCTACAAAAATTCTGTTTAATATAAAACATTTGAAAGGACTTGAATTTGTTGCGGGGCGGTCGGCAACACCCAGCAACGGAATAACCCACTCCAAATCGATATTGTACGGCATTGATTGACGCTCGAACTCAGTTAGAAGAACGTACGTTTGTACTTAACTGACTTGACTACGTCTTCGCTATATCGCTCGAACCACCTATAGCTTTATCATCAACAGCAAGGTTTTGTTAACAACTCGGATGGTTTAATGTTACGCCATCTAATGGTAAAAACAAAAAAATTCGTCATGTTCGAAAGCAAACAATTTGAAACAATACTCTCTATTCTATATCTACCCCAAATGTCTGATAAGAAAAAGAGGGAGAAGCTTACTTGGACAGTGATACGTAGCCCATTTCAATGCCATAACATGCTTGTAAGTCATGTTTCTGTAATCATCGAGAAAGTTGCCTTGTATCAAATCTTTGTATTTCCTATTTTCCTCTTCCAACATCGCCTGGTATTCATTAGACGAGCCGATGAAGAAAAGGAGCGCCACGTCCGGTGATTGCTGACCCCAGGTCTCCCTGACTACGTTCCTCTTAACGAAGTTCTCGGGAGCTGAGTGGACCAACATCAGCAGCAACGGATGCGTCCGGTTACACGGGTCATGGTTGATCGTGAACCGGAAGTCCTTTAAGTCGATCAGGGTGGATCTGTCACCGAACGGAAGTTCGTGCAATAAGTATGGCTGCGGGGAGGCTATCACGTTCTTGGGAAGGATTAATAGATATCCCGGTGCCGACACGAC